ATCACAATATTTAAAATTTCTTATAATTAAGATAATAAAATATCATTCATGTTCCATATCGATTGATCGATTGACATTTCGGAACATTTACACAGCATGTTTCGGTTTTTATAAAACCATCATCAGGTGTAAAATATATCTAAGAACTTAAAACTCAATTATGATTTCTGTAGTTTTTTGGTGATGTTTCATTACGTTTGTTTTTCCATTTTTGGGCGAAGGTGTTGTTTTTCTTAAATGTTATTAGATGTACATATCGGCCAAAGATGTAGGAGTGAGTGTCCCGATATGTCCAGAAGTGTGGATAGCTTTTGTGTTTATAGGGGACATTTAATAGAAGTACATATCAGCATTTCTTTCTTTATATTATGTAAAATTACCATAACATTAGTCATGTCTAAAGAAGCTGTACAGCAGAAGCTTGTGTATTAAGCTGTGGAAATAGTGTGTTGGACTATTATGTTGCATGTGCCTAAGCAGAGAGCACAATTTTCAAAATAGTTGTTATTTTTATGTAATATAGTGTATTTTATTTGGTTCTGCACTTATTATGTCATTGCTTTATTCTGAACTCTGATGTGCAAAATGAACGGCGAGAGTTTGAGTTTGTTGATTATTTAGATTGCAATCATGTGTGCTCATTGGGAGAATGGATTACATGGAAAAATATGAGAGACAGTATAATCGGCAAACATGGGATTTTGGACTTTGTCCATCATTTATATTTCAATAAAATAACGTTTCAGAAGGTGGATCTTCTTCTGTCTTCTGGTAATAGGGGAAAGACAGAAGCCCTAGCTGTTGTTTCCCCTGGACTGTGATCTGAGGCTAGCTTAACCAGATTCATTTGCTGTAGTGTCAAACCCACCCTTGTCACATCATGCATATCAATTCTGTTTTTGTATAATCCATGGTGGAATTTTATAGTGGATGTTTAAGTTGCCATATTTTTAAAGGCTCTTCTGTTTCTCATATCATTCACTTCTCCATTCCCAGCAGTTACTACGTCATTGAAAATAATATAAAATTACTATTCATTGGCTTTGTAATTCATTTAGTAGCTCAGTTTCCCAGAGCTCGCTTCCTTTGTGCATGGAGTGACATATTAATTTTAAAAACTAAAGCACTGATAGATTGCTTTCCTTTGGTATTCGTATTACTCTTGTGTATTTTACACACACGCAGACAAAACTCAAAAGTTTGTCCTAGTGGTTGATTCATTACACTGCTTTTGTGTCGGACATTATCCATTGTCTGCAGTATATGTAGTATACACAATATTTTGGTTTCTGGGCTTTGGTTGTCTGTTATCATAATACTGAAAATTTAAAACAATAAAAGGCTTCTATTAGAATATTGACATCAAATTCTGTGAAGGTGGAAATGCCAGGTGTATCAAATATGCCTCATAACAACGGACATTCTTCAACATCAAGGATGTGCGACACAATATTTTGTTGGATGACATGATTATTATTTGAGTTTTTAATAATGTGGGTTCATTTTATCCTAGAAGGAAACTAAATCCAAGATGAATTTTCACCCTGTCTTTGGAGAGCATTTATATTTAGAAGCTAAGCATACTTTTCTGTTTTTTTCAACATAACTAAAGAGGGATGCTGATAATTAAATGTTGTAGATACAGGCATTAGGCAGTACATTGTTTAATGACATATTTAATCTTTGTAAGGGAGAAATGTTAAGAAACCCAGAAAGTTTGCATCAGTACAGTTCAGTACTTTGCATATGAAGATCAAAAATAATTGTGTTTAGTATTATATGGTTTTAATAGTACATTGGTAATTTTAACATATTGCTTCTAAAGAATATGGGAAGAAACTTCATTTTTAATGACAGACAAATGTAGATCCATTATCAGTATTACATTCATGACCATGTAAGCGCTGTTATTGACATCTTCATGCTACTTACAACCTTGTCTCAACAGTAGAGTTGAAGGGCAACTAAATGTTAGGGAAGAACATAGGGTGATGAGATCATTGTAAACTAATTTGAATTTTGGTCTTATTGCATGCCTGTCCCCTGTTGTTTCAGACATTGAGACAGACTTCAAGAAACAGCTTCAAAAGTTGGTTCCAATGATGCTGGCCCCCGAAAACTTAGTTGTAAAAGAAATTGGAGGTCAGAGAGTGAAGGCGAAGGAGTTGCTGCAATATTTCAAATCATATCTTGAAATTTACAAGGGGGATGAGCTACCTGAACCGAAATCCATGTTGGTTGTAAGTGTTAGTTTTGTACTATGCTTCAATCTCATATTTATCTGCTGTTTTGGCTGTTTGAAATTTAATGTTTACTGTGTATGTATGCGTATGCCACTAAACACATATTAAAGGCATAAATGGATATATCTTTTGTATTATCTTGAGTAATTGGTTCTCCATTGCTGTTGGATTTAATTATAGTACCATTCTTTCCAAATTTTTATTAAATGTTTAATGTGCATATATTTTGATATTGTACCACATTATAGAATGAGCCGGGATAGCTCAGTCAGTATAGTGACTAGCTACGGGCTGGATGGCCGGGGTTCGATCCCCGACGGGGGTAGAGGATTTTACCTCTAGCCTCTGAGTCCAGACCGGCTCTGGGGCCCACCCAGCCTCCTCTACAATGGGTACCGGGGTCCTTTCCCGGGGGTAAAGCCGGCCGGGGCGTGATGCTGACCACTCATCCCCATCTAGTGCCGAGGTCAAGGAAGGGAGGAGCTATACCTCCTCTCACCTCAAACGCCTACTTGGCGTACAGTGGGACAAACTTTACTTTTTACCACATTATAGAAGGTTCGGAAGAAATTAGTTTGCTGCTGCTATTATTTATTTTTTGGTTAATACTTAGGAATACAGTATTACATTGAGACTTGCTTTGGTTTCTTATTGGATAATTTTGCTAATGTATGGCATGGCCTTGCAAAAGTATTCCTTTATTTATAAATTTTTTTTATATTTTTGTAATGTTCTCCAAAACTGTAAAGAAAATATATAGTAATGGCCTTTGCATGAAATTCAAGTGTTTAGGTGCCAGATGCTGGGTGACTTCTTACTGTGCAGGTCCAGGTTGAATCCCAAGGCAATTCATGTGGATTTTATTTTGCTGGGTACTTACAGTTTTTCACTGTTGATTAGTACCAAGGAACTTGTCTAACCCCACTAATAAACAGCAAAATGAAATCTTAAGATAGTTGTACAAAAGCTAGGAAATTACACTTTGTAACAATAAGGGATCAATGAGCCATGAACTAGAATGGAAGTACATACTTCTATATTCTACGTGACAAGTAAAGTTACGAGGGCATTTCAAATTAAATAATTTGAGATATATAATTTAATTAGAGATACAAATGATATGTCATAATCACCCTCCTTTTCAATACACTTCTCACACCGTTGCACCAACTTCTTTATTCCATCAGAAAAAAATGTTTTTGGTTGTGCCTTCAGCTAGGAATGAACCGCTTCTTTGATCTCGTCATCATTCCCAAATCTTCGTCCTCTCAAAGCGTCCTTCAGGGGTCCAAACTCATGATAATCAGAGGGAGCAAGGTCAGGGCTGTATGGGGGGTGCTGTAAGATCTGAAATCTCAATCTCCGAATGGCATCAAGAGTTGCAGCAGCCGTGTGAGGGCGTGCGTTATCATGGACGACAGGAGTGTCGGTCATCACGGATTGACATGCCATCTATTAGGCAGTGTCAAAACCTTCTCTAAGAATGTATCTTCCCTGTGCGGGAGTTTGAAATGCCTAGAGTATTCGTTTCGTGAAATATTGTCAATTTGCTGTTACTTTTTGAAATGCCCTCGTATAATTAAATTTCAGAATACTGTCACATTCTACTTTTTGTCTACAAATCACTTTAAAGAAACTGTGGTGAGATCTGATTTAAAGGACAGAAGTTTTCATATTGAACCTTGTAATGGATAACATATGATCTGGAACAGAGCAGATTGTAACTGTCATGACTGTTGCAGGCTACAGCTGAAGCTAACAATCTGGCAGCAGTAGCAGCAGCCAGGGAAACTTACACAATGTTGATGGAGGGGATATGTGGTGGTGCCAAGCCATATCTCAGCACTGCACATCTCGAAGCTGAACATGGGAGGATTAAAGACAAAGCATTAACTCAGTTCATCAATAAACGCAAAATGGGAGGCGAGAGTTTCTCTGAATCGTACAAGCAGAAGTTAGATAAGGTCAGTTTGTAGTACTTGGTGCTTTAGAGAGAAATAAATAGTCATCCACACATGCGCATGTAGCTAATTATGGGAAAAAGTAGATGGGACTTGAGGGCATACAGAAATTGTGGGTTGGGCTTTTGCTTGTAAAGGACGGCTCTTAACAAGTGGTTGGTTGTGATTTGAGAAAATATTTAACTTCGCAGTTCAGATAATGCTAGAGATATTGGTAAATGGAATTATTTTTCATTATTTTTATGTCTCCATGATGACCACTTTTAAAAATATTGCCCCAGTCATATTTCTTTTAAACAATAGTACTCTGTTTTGAATAGAAGTAAAGAATATTTATTTCATCCATTTTTAGATATCGTAATTACATGTTACAGTGAGTACATTCAATGTTTTATAAATTTTCATTTGTTGAGGTTTCACTGTAATGAAATCTACAGCACATTAATGTTTTTAAAAGGAAGACTTCTCAGGTCCTTTAAACATGTCCTGGGTTGTAAATCAGCCGGAGGCTTTGTTGTTGTTCTCCTAACATAAAACATTTTTGTGGTGGAGGGTTGTTAGCCCTGTGCCCAACCCCCAAGTTGGAGGATCCCCTTGCCTGCGATTGCTTATTCAATATATTCACAGTTATCCATAACTGGAGGCTGTTCCTCCATCTGCAACCTGAGGACGCACCATGCCGTGGTGACGGTCCCACCTAACAAGGAAGACTTACGTACTGTATTTTGGGGTTTGGTTGGGTATTGATAAAATGTATGTTAATTAGGAATACGACATTGTGAAGTATGCTGTAATGAGGGCACTCAGTTTATCTTTTAATAATTCTTCCCTTTAAATTTTAGGAGTTAGAAGATCTGTATGGACAATTCAAAATGCACAATGAAAGTAAAAACATATTCAAGGCTGCAAGAACTCCTGCCGTCTTCTTTGCTACGGCTGTGATATTTTATATTTTATCAGGAATCTTTGGCCTTATTGGAATTTATTCTTTGGCCAATCTGTGCAATCTTGTGATGGGTGTGGCAATGCTGAGCTTTGGGGTATGGGCATATGTCAGGTAAGAAATATTTCTACTTCCATGTGTTTTCTCCTTGACTCAGTTGTAATGCTTACATTCATGCTAGTATGTTATCACTTTTATTTCTGGCTAAGATCATTAGTAAATGATTGACAATTTGATGTTCTTATTCAGTGATGTGTTTTTTTTTAAATTCAAATTTTGTTTGAACCTGTCCCTGGCTTGCATTTTGAAGGTTCTCTAATACTTTGCTTGTACATTGTTTACCATGTCACATTTTTATGTGTCATTTTGTGCTGTAATTTGGGATGTGTTAATTATGTGCAGTGATGAGATCCATATATAAAGTAATTTGATGTTGCAGTTTTATCATTCGATTTGATCTTGGCCTGAGATAATTTCCAAGCATTGAATATTATAATGTTAGATAACTTCAAGGGCCATATAAAATGAATTCTGCATTGATAGTGCCCATAAGCACACGACTAAGAAAATCTGGAAATTACTGAGATGAAAATGTCTTTATGTGGGTAAAATGTCGTATTGCAGGTATAGTGGAGAAATGAGAGAAATAGGAGCATACCTGGACGAAGTTGCGAATCTACTGTGGGATAACGTAAGTGACAATTTGTCTTGATGTTCGTCTTAATTGTGCCCTGTTTCTGATTAGGAAAGTGTAGCTTACATGAAACATCTATTTTGGACAGTGTGTTGTTTATGTGATCTCGACTTTATTATCACTGTAATTTTTCCACACACTTTTTATGAGTGTTTGTTAATGAAGTACTTGTTTTGTTTGGTACAACATGAACAAAATTAATTACATTGTGCACATAACAACTGTTATTTGCACCGAAGATGTGCAGGAACTTGAATACAGTTTGAAAGAACCTGTTGATGACTATTTTTGCTTGAAACCTGTAGTTCATCATTAACAAACACCAAGACGTCTCCATCATGGTGATTTCGTGGTGGAATTGCTATCCCTGTTTGTTGCTCACCTTCCCTAGATTGCAAGGAAAAGGCCTAACTAGAAATGCGAGAAACATATTTTAAGGGACATCTTACATCTGAATTTTGCTCTTTGGAAAGTTCAGAATAGTTCAGTGATAATATTTCCCTGAAAAATTTTGCATTGCTTCCTTAAAGTCAGTCAAGGTACTTTCAGATGCAATTGTGCGTTTTCAAAAGTGTTATGATTTCTTAACTTTTTTGAGGACCTACCCTCTTTTATATTTGCTTCATTCATATTTTTGTTGACCTGGAACTAAAGCCTCCTTTTTTAGTCAGTGCTTAGTAGTAATATAATGGGAATGTTTTGCTCCGTTACTGCAGTTGCTAGGGAAACAACAGTACTTTGTGTACTCAAGTTGTATTTCTAGCTCATAAGCATTTTAATGCAGGGAGTAAAGCTTCTTTTAAGACCTGTCAACGCTATTCCACAAAAACAGCATGGTTCACCAACACATTTTCACGGTAAATTACAAAGAGAAGAATAAGGCATCCTGAAGAGTTTAAGGGACCAACCTTGCGTTCTTTGAGATTTTACTGTATTTACTCATGGGTAACACCCCCCCCATTTTTGGAATGGAAGATTAAAAAATCTGATATTTATGATTTACACACTTTGAAATAAATAAAATATGGAAAGTAAAAAAAAAGATGATGATGTGGTATGAGATGTTTGAAGATTAGGTGGGCTTTGTCAGCGTTTGTTGTTGCTGGTGGTATTTTGTAATGAAAATGGCATGGATACATATTTTAAATCAGTCATATGATGAGATGATTGTTGGCAGCTTTTCTTTGAGAGCAACAGAAAATGCAAAAGTTCATAGTTAGAAATAGTTCACATGCTTGGTTTGTTAGTTTTTATATGTTACAGTGCATTCTACTGTATGCAGAAGAAACACAACTTCATTCCCCCATTTAAATGTGTGGTTTGTATATTACATGCCCTGGATTTAAGAATGAATGAATAATTGTGAAAAGAACTGTGTTATACGTGAGTAAGAATGGTCTTGGCATTACGACTAGAGAGAGCGTTAGGCAGATGATGCTGACGTTTCACTGCCCAGTTATAATGCTCTGTAAATGCAGTTTACTTGAAGCAAAGCATTCAGGGTGATTTTCTGTCTTCATTATTGTTAAGTAAAATTATTTTAACCACATTTAACTGAGAGACTGCTGTGAAGTGTCGCAACAATTTGTATATTCATAGGTACAAATTTTTACAGTACACACTCAATTTATCATAATGGTGGGTGATGGAAAAATGTTGGTATCATTTGCATATTCTACATCAAAAATATTGACTTATGTGGGTTTATTGATACCACCATTTTTTAATTTTGTGTTCAGGTGTAGAAATGCATGAATGTTACACACTATTATCCAGTCTTATCCATTCTATATATATTTTCCCTTCCAATTCCAGTACATCATCACATCTTCATCTGGGAATAAACTAATTTAAAAAATAGGAACAAAACATTTCAAAGACAAATATATAATTTTTACTTAAAATAAACTGAAGTTAACAGTAGTGACAAAGATTTGATTATGAACTGTTATATATCTAAAATTCCTGTGTGGAGGCAGGTTAGAATACCTCCACCGTAGCCTTGCGAGTCATAGAAGGCATTGAAAAGGGAATCTGGTGCCTGGGGGGTATAACTGGGCCACCCTATCACTGGGGGACATAAATACAGAGACCTGGTCTTCTAGGTTGGGAGTTGGACATAACGGTGATGACCTTACTCTGTAAAAAATAAATAAAATAAAACTTGTGAAATCCAAAGAAGTGAAAACCAGATGGTCTAATTCACAACCAAACTAAATTAGGACTCAGAGAAACTGGAAAAGCATAGCCAAGAATAGACAAATCTGGCAGAATCATCTAAGGAAGGCTTTGGCTCAAAAAGGGCTGTTTTGCCAATGATGATGCTGATATATATAAAATGATACTTCTCATAAATAATTGTTTCATGTAGAATATTATACGGCACTTGGGATGTTTTAGGTCATGAAACCAACATATCAACAGTTTTTGGAGATGGGTTTGCAACAGGCAGCACTACAAGCAACAGAAGCAGCAATCAGTAGTGGCAACTCAACAGTACAAAGTAATGGGAAGCTAAAACAGTCTTGACTGCACGCACCACTACAACGAATGTGATAAATGAACTTGGACTTCTATAAGGAATCTTGAAGTGATAAAGTGGCGTGGAAGTGTCAGTAATGGTAATTTAAGCATGTAATTTAGGATAATACAAACGTAACCAACCACCTCAGTGCCTAAAAATTATCTTCCAGTTAAATAAGTATATGTATAAAGTGTCTGATTTATTTTTAGCATTGCCAATCATTGTACATGTAAGTGAACCTAAGCACATTTGGTGTCAAAAAGGCCATATTTATTCATGACTGCTTAGATTTAAATTAACATAAACAGATGTACAAATTTGCTTACCTGAAGGTGCTGCAAATCTTCTACTTCTATGGTGTGCAAGATTGTAAATCTGGACTGAACTCAGCATTGTACTCAATGTGAACACTGTAGCACAATCCCGCACTGTACTTCCACTGTCGAAGGCTCCTTGTGTGTCCATAAGAATAACAGCAACCTCATAGAAAAAATGGAGTAAGCACATTCTTCAAGTATACTTCAACTTGAAAATAAAATTGACAATGTGAAGCAAATTTAATTTCAATTCGTATTGAACCAACAACCTTTAATTCTCTTGTATTGTCACAGTTTTCTGACTAAAAGTATGAAATTTGGTTTGTACATCTGTTTTATTTATGTTAATTTAAATGTAAGCAGTCATGAATGTTCTATATAGTCTTCCTTGGAATTTAAATTTCATAATAGCTACATCATGATTATAAATTATATATTATTTCTAAAACATCTTTAATTGTAAAATACAGTACTTCTTTCCTATAACAATTTGTGTGAAATTCTGTTTGTTGGTGCCTGTTATTTTATTGATAGTGTGGTGGTGGATTTATTTAAATCAAACTCAAGCAGTTGAAGTACAGATATTGTTGAAGGAATATGAATTTATAGTTGAAATTTTGAGTTATATTCAATATTTGTGTTCAGATTATTCTAAAGAAGTTTGTAATTGTCAGTTTGTTGCATAGCAGAAGAAAACTACAATCAAGATTTAATGTGATGCAGTATTATATTTACTGGTGGGCTCTCTAAACCGAGCATGACAATGGTCCTTGACTAGGGCAATGGCTCTAGTTTTTGAGCATTTCTGAAGGCCCAGTAACAGTGCTTGATGTTATTAGTAAATGCTGTTACTGATTCTGATGAAATTCCACTGCTAAACTGTGGTGTCTGGAACACTACAAAACTGCTGTAGGTGGTGTGAAAAGGTGAAATATATTAAATATATTTTTTCTAATTCTGTGCAAAAAATAAATGGATTTAATATTTGTGGCTTGCATGAGAAATTGTACCTACATTTGATTTCCTCTTTTATGTTTTGTGAGATAGTCCTTGAATAACATACTTCTATACACTTTGATTTGTATAATTTAGTAGTTGCAGGACCTCAGTAGTATATGCAGTTCACGATGTACAACCAGTGCCATAAGAGGAAATAGTGGCCTCAGATTTTCTTGCCGCTATGCAGATAAGCAATGAGTGAAAATTACGTGCTCAACATTGAAATTGTTTTCATGCTCATTAATGTTATAATTGTGATATAATTAAAATACTTAGCTGCAAAACTCCTGTTGTTATATTGGGTTTGGTAAATAAATCCCTATTTTTGTAATATTCTCTGCACTCTCTTATTTAATTTACAGCCTGAGTCAACTTTTTATCATCTAGGTAAGACTATTTGACTTGTGCAATCAGCTGTTGTCCCAGTAACCATAAGTGCCCTGTTTTCTCTTTGTGACAACACTATGAGCCACAGAATGACCTTACAGAACACTTACATCAAAATGTAACTTTCCGAGTTGCACTACATTATTAAATACAGTTTAATTTTTGGACATCATGGATTTTTACCGCTACCGCCACAAAACTGGATGTTCATTATCAAACTTCGAGGATTGAACCCAGAAATAAGCCAGGCCTTTTCTCTTTGCCTCTGTGCTGAGGCCTTTTTCATGGAGGTATATCAGTGTGAAGCCAAGGTGTAAATGTGTGGTACTTTACCTCCATTTCTCCATACATCTTCATAGATTAGTGATTTTAC